TATTCCTCATCATGGACATTGTAGCTGTGGTTTCTTATTATGTCATCTCAACTCTTTGAGCCTGAGTTGGTAATGACTACTTTATAGGGTCCTTATTAGTCTCAAATAATGAGTCTCAAATAAGCTTGTGAATTTTGTACCTTCATACAGTGTCCTTCAAATACAACTCTCCAGCAGCAGCCTTATGTGATCATTTTGTGACAAAAAAAAAATTCTCTTTCCAGTTCTCTAAAAGTTCACTTTGAAGCTTTTCTTATATTATTACATACTGAGCTGAAATTCAGTTATATGTGTAATTCCTTTAGCTTCCTCTTTGGGATAAGAATCTTTAGAAATTACACATTCTTGGCATTATAATCTCTATCATGCCAAACCTAATGTCTTGTGCCATGTAGGTGCTTAGAGTGTTTTTACATTGAACTTTCTCTATTACCCCTTACAATATCATATCTGATTGTTTTAGTACTATTATAATTACAAAACACATCCATATCATTAATCTAATGTGGCATCCTTCTATTATGTATAGTAGACAGATAAACATGCTCCCAACTTATAAATAATTTTTTTAAAAAACCTGAGATCAACTTTAAATATGTTACCCTGTTTCCCCGAAAATAAGACAGTGTCTTATATTAATTTTTGCTCCCAAAGATGCGCTAGGTCTTATTTTCAGGGGATGTCTTATTTTTCCATGAAGAAGAATAGGGTACACATTTATTGTTAAATGAAAATAAAGGAAATTTATTACCTGTATACAGTACGGTAGTATGGTAGGTGTCAACACAAACCAGACAAACTGTGAATCCTACAGTATCAAGAATTTACTCATTTATTCAATGACAATCATGTCATCATCTTCTGGAACATCATCATAACAATCCAATTCCTGAATTTCCTGGTGAATTTCTTGTGACTCCATTTCTTTCAGAATCAGTGGACCAAATCTCTCATGTTTAGCCTGGGGGGTGGGGGGCTTATTTTCGGGGGATGCCTTATATTTCACTCAGAAGGAAACCTGTAAGTAGGTCTTATTTACGGAGATGTCTTATTTTCAGGGAGACACAGTAGTAAGTCAGCTCCATACCCTGGAGCAGAATAGCTGACACAGCCAAGTAAGACTTGGGGATTTGGACGCCTAGAAAGGATTACCTACCTTAAGCATTTGACATTGTTTGCATGAATCCTTGACCTTGAAAGAATGCAAGGAGAGCTTTGTCACTGTTCCTATCTTCCTGACACTGCTGTTCCTTTTAGTGCTTGTCTGTGTTGATGACCACATTCACTATTTCCAGAGGTGCATTAACACCTTTCATCATTGGGTTCCGAAAGGAACTTATAACAAAAATAAGTAACAATGATCTGGAAGCAACACTGCACTAGCAAAATAGCACATCTAATAACTTACCTGAACTTTCCAAGCTAGTTTAGCCAACCTTAAAATAACTAAGTATGTTGAAACTATGATAAAAAGACAACATGTTGGGTTGAAGATAATGAGGAAGAACTTAAAGGAAGTAAGGGGGAAAGGGTGGAGAATAGATGAGGGTAGAACACAGAGTGGTAAGTGGATCTTTTCATCCTCATAATAAGTTTTTATTGCAGAGGCCACAGTGAGAATCAGTATTTTGCTTAAAGACTCTCTGTCAAACTATTCAACCCTCCCTGAGTCAGTTCTACTGAAATTCTATCTTAGGGAGAATCCCATACTCATTTTATTTCTATGAAAAATTTAGCATTCTGTGTGGGAAAATTAATAGATTGTACCAAAATTCTTTATCCCTCAAAATTACAGATTAAAGAATGACAGTTTTTGACACATTACTTTTCACCTTCATTATAGTTTTTAACCTTCATATTGTCCTGGCTTCTCTAAACTTTCCATGAGAAGCAGTTGTTCAGCTTTTCAAACTAAATCCCAAATGCAGATCAACTGCAAATATGTTCTTATAATACTGTATTAGCAGCATATGAAGCATAATAATTCCAGGCTGTGATTTACAATCTTCCATTTAAAGGAGATGGAAGAGGTAGCATTCTTAGGCTCCTACCTCTGTTAACAGTTTCTCTAACTTCTAACTAGAAATATTCTCCTCTAACTTGTAATACCCATAATGAGGATGTATCTTGCTCAGCTACTGAATATGAAAAGCATTGTAAACTTTTTTGCACTCTGCCATCACAAGAAACTTTAATAAACCTTAAGGCATGGAATTCACTTTTCTCCCCCCACACAATAATGGCTTTTCACAGACCGAGTGCTCATAAAACATTTGTTGGATTCAAAAGGTTGTTTTATACCAAAACTTATTTTCATCCTATTTATTTACTACATTAACAATAAACTTTTTAAAACACTTTTTTTTCTTTTTCTGTCTCAGAGGAAGTAGGAGCAGTATAAGACATATAGAAATATATTTTCAAATCATGTTGGATTGTTCTGTAATAATACTCCCCTGACTATAGAGATGTAAATCATCTGTCACTTACCTGTTAGAACACTCTAAATCAGGGTCAAGTATGTTCATCCCCTTTGGAAGGCAGGAAGAAGAAACAACAGTGACTTAGGTGAAAGAGGAAGTAGAATGTTAAGTAACTACTCTGCTCCCATTGAGTGACCTTAGCTGTCCCTCCATGCATTGGGAGACAAAAACTCTTCTTGATCCTATCATTTATTTGCACATATAATCCAGGGAAGGCAGAGTGGTGCCTGAAGCCATAGGTTCAATTATTCCCAATTTATCTGTATCCTATTTGGAAAAAAAATTTAGAACACTAAAATGGACTGGTGTCCTGTGAGAGGAAGAGAGTTTCTTTAAAGCAGAAAGACTTTCCTTTATGCATTCAATAGTATTAAAATGTGTGACCTTGAAAGTTAGGTCACATATTAGTAGAGGTATATGATTATGCCTCTATTAATAAGAAGTATATTTATAATAATGTTTCCATCTATATCTACATACCTATGTCAATTAAAGGTGATTTTCAGAGGCTAGGAAAGCCATGAAAGTAAAGGATCTTAGACTATTACATGATACCATAAAGTTCTTCATTCCCTTAAGTTTAGCCTGAGCTCAAAAGCCTAGCCAAGTAAAATAAGATCTTCTGTGTGGGAAATGATCATGAGATGTATCATCTTTACTCTCTTATTGATTTGTTACTCCCCTATATATACATGAACTTCCAGAATTTTGAGCCCCAAGTGGATTTGGTATCTTCCAATGGCAGACCTTGTCTGCAGGTACTTTTGCCTGTAAGAAATTACTTAGAAGTGAAGAACTAAAAAAAGATGGCCTAATTAAAGACAGATTTACCTTAACCCTATATTGTAATTTAATAACCCAATATGAACTTGTGGGGGGAGGAGAGATGAATAGGTGAGCACAGAAGATTCTTAGAACAGTGAAACTACTCTGTATGACACTATAATATAATGATGGATGTGTGTCATTATACACTAGAATGTATAGCACCAAACTCATAGAATGTATAGCACCAAGAGAGACCTCTAAGGTAAAGTATGAACTTGGATGATTAGGAGTTGCCATGTGAGCTCACTAAGGGTAACTAATGTATCACTCTGGTAGGGGACATTGATGACAGGGGGAGGCTATTCAGCTGGAGGGGGGTGGGGGGCATAGGGTATATGGAAAATCTCTGTACCTGCTGCTCAATTTTGCTGCTCAACTTAAAAATTCTCTAAAACATAAAGTCTTCCATTAAAAAATACTATATGACTTATTAGCTGATGTATAGACTTTTACACACATATGCCAAATATTTCTCTAAGGTGTAATTTTGGGGGGTTGTGAGCTATATTGAGGTGATGAGTGGTGCTGTATTTTTTTATGTATTTTTTAGGTCAGCCTTAGTTACAGCTGCCTTTGGACTCCAGCCCTGTCTTTGGCTCAGGAAGCAGGGAAGGGAAAAGTGTATTCACTGACGTACATGGGAAACTGGGGTCAGCATCACCTTCCAACATGGTCTCTTGGTCTCCGAGGCTGATGCACCACTTTAATTATGTAGAATGCTTGGTGCCAAAACCACTTCCACACTAACAGGTACTTTTGTCTACCCACTCCCCAGTGATAACTTCTAGCAGCCAGTGGTTCTTAGCAAGAAACTTTGGCAATAAATCTTACCATTGAGCTACTGAAAATGGCTTCTATTAGCAAACACAATTCCTCAACATTTTGAGAGAATTCTCTGAAGATATTACATCAGCCACCTTGAATGGCATCTTTGTCTCCAGTACCCTGTCCATCACAAACTGTGGCTGAGGCCTCTTTCCTTTTCTCTCCATCCATGAGTGCATGCCAACACTCTGCCCTCCCACAGAGCATCTTCCTAAGATCACGGTCCTCTCCCTTCCTCATTCTGAGCATGAGCACAGCACACACTTAACATTCAAAACTGTGGGTCCCTCTGGTTTCCATTGTTTATATAAATGGCACATAAGGGTACCTTGTCAATGTGTGGACAGTTGTTTCTCAAATTTGAGTATCTTGCAGAGGCTTTTAATATGCTGTGAAGGTCAGCTTTGACCTTGGTGTTCAGCCAAATTTATACACTGAGTGGCCAGATTATTATAATCTCTAAATATCTAATATATATTAGAGTCCCAGTGCATGGGTGGGGTCCTGGCCAGGGCGAGGGAACTTGGGCAGTTAGCTAGCCTGCCTGCTGGTCAAACTCCTGTTCGAGGGGACAATTTGCATATTAGTCTTTTATTATATAGGATATACTCTGAGTGGCCAGATTATTATGCTTTCAGAGATCATAATAATCTGGCCACTCCATTTATATCAGCCTAAACTTCAGCATTTAAAAGGCTAAAGAGCCCAATGCCTACATTAGGGTCATTTCTGACATCTCTGCCTGTCAGGGATATGATGGCATAGGTTATAGTCATATCCCATCTGCAATTCCACAGTCCATGTGTCCTGTTCTAAAGTGAATAAAGGATGATTAGGATGGTTAGTGATAAAGGACCACATATGCTAGAGGATTATTTCCACCTTTCCTTTTATCTTTAAAATCCCAATACCTTCTCTCTCCTCATTCTCGACCAATCTCTTTCTACTTCAAAAGACACCTTGAAGCAATCAGAAAAGAATTTTTACAAACTTGCATCACATACTTTGCCCACCCTCCCGCATTTGTGGCCTCATATTCAGACTCCCTGCCTGCTGTGGTAGAATCTTGATCCCTATAAGTTAGCTGTTCTGTGACCTAAAAGCAACACTCCTCTTGGAAAAGTTGCTATGGAGAGAATTCTCCCCTCTCTGCAGAAGAGAGATTATTTAACTTGAGCATCACCTCATTAGATCAACTACTTTTGCCATTAATTTTCCCCTTCATAGTAAAATATGTTGGAAGAATTTTATACTTCTTATTTATTATACTAGAAGCCCAGTGCACCATTGGGGTCCTTGCCCTGGCCTGTGGGATCAGGCCAAAACCAGCTTTCCAACATCCCCTGAGAGGTCCCAGATTGTGAGAGGGTGCAGGCCAGAACAAGGGGCCCCACTGGTGCACGGTCAGGGCTAGGGAGGGACACAGGAGTTTGGCCAGCTGGGGAGGAACTTCAGGAGGGCTCCAGGGCATGTCCGGCCTGTCTCGATCAGTTGGACCCCACAGCAAACTAACCTGCTGATCAGAGCATCTACACCTGGTGTTCAGTGCACATCTCAGCAACTGGTTGACTGGTCAACTGTCTGCTGCCTGGAGATCAATGCACATCATAGAAAGTGGTTGAGCAGACTTGGCATATCATTGCACAGTACACTTTGATTGGTTGAATGGATAACCAGATGGGACATGTAGGATATTAGGCTTTTATTAGGATTATTTTTCAATTATGGTTTGTATTCAACATTATTTTGTATGAGTTTCAGGTACACAGGACAGCAGATAGACATTCATATAAGTTACAATGTGTTCCCTCCTATAATTCAAGTACCCACCTAGCATCATAGGTAGTTACTACAATATTGATCCCCGCGTGTGTGCGTGTGTGTGTGTGTGTGTGTGTGTGTGTGTGTGTGTATGTGTGTGTGATGGAGGGGGATTTCAGAGTGCTATTCTGAGAACCTAGCATGTTCCTCCGTATTGCTCAGCCCCAGGGACTGAAAATCTAGGCAGGAAGAAAGATTGGCTGGCTTACAGGTGGCATCAAGTGAGGGTGTCTGGTGGACATCAGCCTACATCAGCAGTGTTACTACATGAATAGCATTCCTAGGGCAGAGATTCATGATCCTTTCCCTGAGGAATGCCATAGAGAAACCATAGGAGGTCTTCTAGGAACCAGCCCAATAGGGCCACTTGAAATTCCACGTACAGTATTTTGAAGATAAACACTGGCTTTCTAAGGTTCCACGTCCAGTATTTTGAAGATAAACACTGGCTTTCTAAGGACTAAGCAATCATAATCAATGTTTTCCAACTATGTCAATGGTACTAGAATTAAAAAAAAAAAACTACAAAAAGTTTCCAAAAGGACGGGGATTAAAAAGCTTTCAACATTTGCCAGGCAGCCCAGAAACAGTAAGCCATCTGTTAAGATACAAGGTCCAGTAAGAACTTTAGGTCCCCTGACTGCTCCTCCCTCCTTCTCTAATTGAGCCCACATCTAAAATCTAAGGCAATCTGGGCTCTGCATTATCTAATAATGAGAAGAAAGTTTCTGAAGCTCTCTGAGTTTTCATTTAGGCACAGATAAGTATTTCCTTACACCATAATACATTTGAAGGAATGATGAGAGATAAAAATTAAAGCTTTATTTTGAGTATGTCTTGGTTACTAAAGAACCAATTGCACTCAAATATAATATTCATACAAATAGATTCAACTGCTTTCAAAACAGAACTGTAAGACATAAAATTAGAAAAATTGTTCACTCGGAAGAAGTATTAAATTGCCACTTGTGAATATGGTATTGAGAGCCCTGACAAATGTCCCATTTGGTACTCAAATTATTTATTCTGCCACCGCTTGTTTAAACCTATTTGGAAGTTTTAGTGAACATAACATTTTGTCTTCAATTGAAGGAAATGCTTTACAGACTTATGAGTTAGTTCATTGTGTTCCTTTCTCTTTAACCCATATGACTAAAAAAATACTTTCTGATGCCAATTTGAGGATAATTATAAATTTGAGTGCTGAAATGGCATGGCAGTACTTGATTATGAGATTAGAAGATGGAGGTGGAGGTAGAGGTGGTGATGGTGAGTGTGAATTATACATATAAATTATGTTCTCAAAAATGAAAACACACATTTCATTTTTTAATTTCAATTACTGTTATATCTTTTTAAACATATTTTTTATTGATTTCAGAGAGGAAGGAAGAGGGAGAGAGAGATAGAAACATCACTGATGAGAGAGAATCACTGATGAGAGAGATTCATTGATCGACTGCCCCCTATTAGGATCAAGTCTGCAAACAGGGCATGTGCTCTTGATCTGTATTGACCTGGGACCCTTCAGTCATAGGCTGATACTCTGTCCACTGAGTCAAACTGGCTAGGGTGAAAATATGCATTTTAAAACATTCTTATATAAAACTAAAAGAGCAAAGTTAAGAAATAGTAGACCTGACTTTTGATCCCAGATTCTTCCAAAAAATCTGATTTTTTTTTTTAGTTTTTAGTTTTTAGATAGAAGAAGAAAAAATCTTCTTTCCTATCTTTCCTGGTACCCAAATAAGCTTAACAGCCCAGGAAGATCAATGATAGAGGAATATCTTGAGATTTCATTTTTTCTTTAAATATTCACATACTTAAAAAATGATACTCAAGAAGTAAGGAAGATAAAGCTCCTTCTCTCCCATCTGGACAAAATCTCCACTTTCCTTTCCTCTTTTCTCTCTATTCATCATACATTGCTCTCTGCCCTCCCTTTCCCCCATACTCTTCCTCTGCATATTCCTGCTGCCAAACTCTCCTACTGTCTCTTTCCCTCTTTGTGAAGACCCCAAAGAGCAACTGACTGGCTGGTATTGCCTATCTCATCCAAATATATATAACATTCCTTCTTGCTCACCACTCACAAAATTAACTTTGAGAGATTTCCCAGGGACAGTCTAGATTCTCACTGATGTTTCTAGCTTTCATTGGAGTTAGAGGGTTCACCAATGTAGATACCCCCAGGAAAGTAGGCTCAGGCACAGATTTCCAGAGCACCATTTTCTCAGACATGTTCTCCAATCTTCAGGTTGTCAAGACAGAAATCTTGACTCTGAAAGTGTCTAGATATTCATTAGGACAAGAATGAAACCTATATTTTAAAAAATGGTGCATACACACACAGACTTACTATAACATTAGTCAATACTTTTCTTTCTGAAGAAAAATTTGTATACGAAGCCAAATTACCTACTGAGTGTGGGCAGATGTTGATAGAATTCAACTAAGGATCATCGTAGATTGTTCAAAATAATTGTCAACTTTAAGTAGTAATCATATTCTAATGCAATTTTCTCAGATTTCTTAATTGTTTGTTTCCCAACAAGAATATTTTGCCTGTCATATCCATGAAACAAAACTAAGCTGTTAGGGCAGTATACATTAAAATCCCCATATATCATTTCCTCCACCATAATTTTTTCATGGCGTTTCTCACTTCTGCATTCCTCAATGTATAGATCAGAGGGTTGAGCAAGGGTGTCCCAATTGTATAAAACACAGCCACCATCTTGTCTATTGGAAATGTGGTCGGTGGGCGGGTGTATATGAATATACATGGGCCAAAAAATATGACAACCACAATAAAGTGGGAGGTGCATGTAGAAAGGGCTTTTTGCCTTCCTTCTGCGCTGTGGTTTCTCAGAGAGTACAAGATGACACCATAGGAGAGAAGCAGGATTATAAAGCTCACCATGCAAATGGCCCCACTATTAGAAACAACTAGCAAGTTTATCACATACGTGTCCATGCAGGCAAGTTTCAACAAGGGCTGCAAGTCACAGAAGTAGTGGTCAATCACATTTGGGCCACAGAAAGGCAGTTGCAAAGCTAGTACTATCTGTGCTGAGGAGTGGATACAGGATCCCACCCAGGCCAGAATCACCAGCACACCACAGACTCGATGGCTCATGATGGTGGTGTACTGCAAAGGCTTACAAATGGCGACGTAGCGATCAAAGGCCATGAGGAGGAGCACAAAGATCTCCATGCAGCCAAAGAAATGGGCTGCAAAGACCTGAGTCATGCACTCATTGTAGGAGATGGTCTTCTTCTGAGAAAGGGAGTTCACAATCAATCTGGGGGCTGTGGTTGTAGAGAAGCAGGCATCGGCAAAGGACAAATAGAACAGGAAGAAATACATGGGATTGTCAAGGGTCCTGCTTGTTTTGATAGTCACTACAATGAGAAAGTTCCCCATCAGTGTCGCAAGGTAAAGCATCAGGAAGACCCCAAATATTGCTTTCTGCTTTCCTGCATCCTGTGTCAACCCAAACAAAATGAACTCGATCACACTGTTATTCATCACCATACTAGTAGCTGAAGAAGGTAAGTTGCAGTTGACAAAAGTTTAATCTGCAGAGAGAAGAAAAGTAGTGTCATGTTGAAAAGATTAGTGAGCTGAACTCTGGATTCCTTGTTTCTGCTCCATCCTGTTACCTCCAACTGCCTTTAATCCCCCTTGAACCTTTGTAAGTCTGTGATGTCCAAGCCTCTCTCCGATCTACCTGTTGTTCACAAACTTACTACATTGGACCAAACTGTCTGCATTTGGGGAATAAAACAAATAAACATCCTTTAAAAAGTTTGATTCCTGAGAACTGCACAATTTGTACTTTCCTTGGGCAAGTGACTTAGTTACCTCTTTGAAATTTATCCTTCCTGTGAAAAAAATAGAGGGCAAATACTTGTCCTGCCTTATTCCAAGTTTTCCTAAAATTTAAAATGTAAATATAATATACCTATACACACACACACATAAACATGCATATTTCATGAATTAATACCAGTATATCTTATCTATGAGCTTTGAAATCTGATCAACACTATTCAAATATAATTATTTTTCAGTTCACTCATTTTTGTGTCCATTTTCCCAGAACTCTTTGGGACACTGGTCTTTTACTGATGCCTCTTGTGTAGAAGATGCCAGCTTCATTGACTGTCTAGATATAATAAATGTCTGGACAATTCTTTGAAGATGGCATAATTTGGGAAACTTTTTTTTCCGCTTTTTCTTTTCTTCTGTTAATCATCACCTTAGGATATTTTTTCCATGGATTTTTAAAGGGAGTGTAAGGGAGGAGGAGAGACGAGAGAGAAAACCATCAATGTGAGAGAGACGCACATCCTGACCCGGGCCAGGGATCCAGCCCATAACCTAGGTAGCAACCTAAGCACGTGCCCTTGACCAGAATAAAATCCAGGACCCTTCAGTCCACATGATGGTGCTTTATCCACTGAGCCAAATCAGCTAGGATGGGGAGCCACTTTTTATTTACTCTCTACTCTTAAACTTACCGCATTAAAATATTAAGCCTCTCTGCTGATGAATTTGACTTGTCATAAAATTTCTAATATGCCTATAATCTAGTGTTTTTAATTTTATATATTTTTCTTTACTCTGAATTTCCTTTGATAAAGAGTCCAGCCCTAGCTGGTTTGGCTCAATGGCTCTGACTTGTCACCTCTTTTCTTAAAGAAGTATCAGATTAGTTTCAGAGAGGCACAGCAAAATTATACTGTGCCCTCAATAGGGTCATCTGCTGTCATCATCAGTGCTGTTAAGAGTTCGTATTTTAGAGCAGTTTTAAGATTCACAGTAAAATTGAAAGAAAGCTACAGAGATTACCCATAAGGTCCCTGCCTCCACACACACATAACCCCCAAGCACACATCACTATCAACATCCCCATCAGGGTGCTGCATCTACTATAATTGATGGGTCTACAATGACACATCACAATCACCCAAAATCCATAGTTTATCTTGGGGCTTACCAGGGCGGTGTACATTCTGAGTCTAGATAAAAACAGAGCCATTTTTATATTCATAGAACATAGAACATAATTCCTTTCACACAACACCTAATTCTGATACTCGATAAAATCTAAATAAAATGTTTCACACAATTTAGTAGAAGGAAATAACACTTTAAGTGAGCTATCTGTGTGAGTTTTCAATGTCAGATGTATTAGCTCATGCAAATCAGAGAGTCAGACTGATATTTCATAAACGTCAGTATTACTAATAACCAATCCTAGAATTCTTAAATGAATCCTCACATGGGTCCTCTCTCTTTCTAAAGAGAAAGAAAAGACACAGGAAATATATAGTTTCAGATATGCCCTCTTCTCCTCACTCTTCCTGTCGTCTCCTTCTCACCTCTTTATCACTTCTTAAAAATAAAAGGCTTTAAAAATATAATGAATCGTGAATGTAATAAAATGGTTATTATGGTTTTCAAATGCAGTGGCTGAAATACTGACCATGGCTTTCAGAGCCTTCTAACTCTTGATATCTCTTGCTCTTCCCTTTCTTCCCCCAGTATTTCTCCTTATGCATGTTTCAGCCAAGCCTGACACTGCCCAGACCATCTTTTCTCTGAATTTTTTATTTCCCACAGTGGCTAGTGGACCTTCCTCAGATATAACCTCCCTCTCCACAGCTACCAGTATGCAGAGTGCCTAGCTGAAATGCCATTTCCTAGTTTTACCAGTTGAATCACTTTCTTGCTAAAGACCTTCCAATGTTGAAGTGTGTGTGTGTGTGTGTGTGTGTGTGTGTGTGTGTGTGTGTTGAATCATGTGACCCTAATTGTAACCCTTCTCTCACTTTTGCTTTAATGTCTTTTGTTCATTGGATTTTACAATAGCCCATAAGAAAAGTTCACATTGTCCTATTTTGTGAACTTTGGGCTAAGCTGGGAGGCAGAGGTTAGCAGACAGCAGTCAGAAAGGAGCCAGGATCAGAACTCAAGCCTCTGTGCTCCATGACAATTCACTGTCATCCTGCAAAAGGGGCAAAGAAATCAGCATTTTATCTGTATATGTCAAAACTGATGGTGAGGAGGAGGGGATAGAGAGGTTAGAGAATGATGGCAGGGAACAGAGCCAAAGGGGGGAAATGTGCATGTGGGGAAACGAAGTAGGAAGGGGGAATTAAGGGCTGAGACAGAGGGAATAAAACCCACAGTGCAAAGTGAGTATAAACCCGTGTTAGAAATAAAGAGTAATTTGCCCTAGGATTTCACTAGACAATTTTGCTTTGCTCTCTCCCACTCCTAATATTACCCCTTTCTCCAACCAAAGAAAGAGGAGGTGATTTTGGGCTGTAAGTGGGGTGGCAATGGGTCTTATAAAGCCAGCATTAGTATCATTAATATTAGGATAATTGGCATCATAGTATTATAGAATCAGAATATTGATCATTAATATCAATTGACATCATAGTATTATAGAATCAGAATATCGATCAGTATCAATGCATACTGGTTGCCTATTATCAGTATGCACCTCTATGATTTTCCTGACTATGCTTTGCAAGTCAGAAATCTGCAGGTATAAGATACTATACCTCTACTCCCTTCGATGCACCCCTTTTTGCAGTAAGAATCGGCCTCAGACAGTGTTGCCTCAAGCAGAAGCCAGTGAAAGCTGGGGAACCCTGGCGTGTCAGAATCTTCTCATCACCATCGGGAACATATTCCTGGAACTCCAGGTTTTTCAGGAGACAGAAATGCATGATAGCAGCTGCCCTAAAACCCAGTCCTGAATGGGAGGCAAGACAAGGGAAATGGTGCAGTGGTGCTTGAAGACTTACCTTTAAAAAAAGAGGTGATATCCAACAGAGGGCTCATAGTTTTCACTCTTCCAGTTCTGATCTATTTTACATGTGTTTGCAACATGCAACTTGTACTTCAAATGAATCTGCTTGGCTTTCTGTTGCAGGATCTATGGGCGGGGGATGTACTCCATGATGGCCAACCCTTTCTAAAAACATGAATTAGGCTCTCCAAAAGGGTCTGGAATACCAGCAGAAAGTTTCTTACTTCTACTCAGAATTTCCTAGAACAAAAGGGAAATATCCCCTCTATTCTGTGGTAGAAACTTCTCTAAAGCCAGGTCTAGTGCTCAAAATCATTCCCCTGCAGATCACATGAATTAAAGAATCCTTTTTCTTCCATCAGATATTTATAGGGATTTCATGAAAGTTCACAAATGCCAGCCTCTGGAGAGACAAGGACTCAACCCTTCCCATTCAAACCTGACCGATTGGCTCAGCGAGTTAATCAGCTCAATCCTGGATCACAGAAAACCATGGGGCCAATTCATCCCAAACAAGACTGTCAGCAGGCAGATTCTGTCCTCAGAGCTCCCCTCCCTCCTAACTCTGCCCTAAGGGAATCTTCCCATTTCATTTACCAAATGCTCCACCCATGCACCCTGCTCTAAGGAAAAACCATGCTTTCTAAGTCACATAGAGGCAAAGACTTCTAAAAGTTCCCCAAAGGATCTGTCCTTCAAGTCAATTTTTTTCTAATGGCAGACAAAGCTTTGAGCCTATGTGAAGGTTCAAACAGATGAGATATAATTGACTTCTAGCTCCATCATTTGTTTCTTGACTTTAGTCAAGTTTCTTCTCCTAATTTCCTATTCTAGAAAATCACTAGATATAATAATTATGACAAATAATAATGATATTGATAAAATATAATATGAATAATTACAATGAAAACTATTAATTAAAAGTTCTATCATTTCTAAAATAATGTGAAGTAAGTAAATCAGTTGGTAAAGGAAGGAAGAAGAAAATAAAAAAACTTTTTTTTACATATTTTTATTTATAAATTGATTTCTTAAGTATAATTTATATACAATAGTTACACTGTTTTATTTTTTTTCTTCTTTTTCTTTTTTTCCTTTTTTTATTTTTTATTTTTTTTATTAAATTAATATCTGTGTACATATTTTAACATTGCCCCCCCCTCCCTTACGTACCCTCCCTCCCCAGAGTTTTGTGTCCATTGGTTGTACTTATATGCATGTATACAAGTCCTTCGGTTGTAGATACACTATTTTAAAAGAATAGGAAATGGGTTTAGACAAATGTATACACATGTATAACTGTCACCACATGGTAGGAGTTTATTGATTTCATTCTTCCATTCAAAAAAGCAGATTTTAGCTTTTTGTGTTCTCTTCATATTTATATATTTGTCTTCTGCTCTTTATTATTTAGTTTTATTTTTTAATAGTCAAGGTTTTTATTTAGCACAATGCTAGTAGTTGCCATCTTACCTGTTTTCTATTTTCTTAATTAAATTTATGGGGGTGATATTAGTTAATAAGGTTATATAGGTTTCTCTTTTTTATATGCACGTTATTTATTTTTTAACCAAATAAATGGCATAATGAATTTTTTTTATTAAATTTATTGGGGTGACACTGGTCAACATAATCATTTAGGTTTCAAGTGTAGGGTTCTCTGAATAAGATTATATAGGTTTCAAGTGTACATTTCTATGACACA